CCTTAATATCGGGTTAATGACCAAATTGTAATATTTCAGAATTTGGTGATTAAAGTGGAATAGTTAAAAAGTTCAATGATTTATTTGAAAATATTACCTTAAAGATGTTAGTAATTATAAAAGGTATTAAAGGGCAAAAGGGTCATTTGACCAAGAGATGAATTAAATAATATATATATATATATATATATGGATAAGGATGAGAGATTTTCCAGAAATCTCTTCTCTATTTTCTTCTTCATCTTCTTCTTCCTCCCGTGAAAGCTCCAAGGCAAAGGTAAGATTCCTTGTTAGCTGATGATTTGTTGATTTTAAGAGTGGGTTTTGATCCTTAGGTAATACTTAAGATTATGGAAAGCTTAGGTTGTCCTAAAATCAAAAGATAAAGGAGATAGAGAAGATTAAAGATTAGTGGTTCTTGAATGAAATCTTGAAATAGAGTTTATAATAAGAATTGAAAGTTGGATTTGACTTGTCATCAATCTAAGTAAGAGATATGAAGTAATAGAATTGGATTTTAAACATGTTGTAAAATTGATGTAATTATTGAATTACATATGGAAGATAGGATTTTGAGGTTTAAGATGAAATAAATGAGTATAGATTGGTTTAAGTATGTGTACTAGAGTTAAGAATGAAAAAAGGGATGAAACATGAAGGATTTAAGCCAAAATGAATGAATTTTTGGGTTCAAAAAGAGGATTCTGGGCAGAGTGCATCGATGCATATTCATTGTGCATCGATGCGTCAAGGTTAAAACCCAGAAATTGTTTGAAGGTGTATCGATACACAGGTAGTGCATCGATGCACTCTTTTAAAATAAAAAGATCGAATGCAATTAGTGCATCGATGCATAAGGCATGCATCGATGCATCCAAATAATAATACAACATTGAATATATTTTATGCACCGATGCATCAGTAGTGCATCGATGCATACCCTCATTGAAAGAAGAAATTGGCATTTATCTTAATCTAAAGAGTGAACCATTAGAGTATATTAGTTATAATACTAATATAGATCTATGTATGATTATGTAGATATAGAACGTGATCCTGTTTTGAATCAATTGAAGGATTAGAATCGAATCAAAGCAAAGCTAAGGTGAGTGCAATTTAATTGTATTTATGTTATCGAATAAACATTGGGTTGCGATAAGCCAGTGATAGAATTACTATGGTAAGAAGTAACTCTTAAAATGTTATTTGATTTGTGAATGATATGATGCTTATGTGTGTATGAGTACATGATTACATGTATATGTGATATGTGAAATTGAATTAAGTAATAACATGAGAATATGACATGAGATAGGTAATATGAGTTATGTGGTCATATTAGAAAATATGTTAAGTGATATGTGAAAATGGATTATATGTTTATGTGAATATGTGATATGATATGAGATTCATAAATACATGTTTATGAGATATATGTTTATACACACATATGGTATGTGACAGAAGAGAATGAACATGTGATTATAAGATCAATGATTACACGTACATTTGGTACGCGACTGAAAAGAAAAGATATATGTTCATAAGAGAAAGGATATGAATAAGTAAATTGAACTGTTATAAATGATAATGCCCATGTTATAGGATAAGAGAGCTAGTGGTATAGTTGGCATGCCAAGAGTCGAGGGTACTTATATTTTACGGAACATATGGACAGAATTACCTATGTCTTTCGAGACATATGGACAGTATACCTATGTTCTAAGGAACATATGGACAGTTTACCTAGGTTCTTCGGAACCTATGGACAGTTGCCGAGGATCTTTATGACCTCTGGATAGTTACTGAGGTTCCTTGTGACCTTTGGATAGGTCCTTCTGGACATTGATATGAGTTGTGGTGACAACATTAGTGTACAACCTCAATGTACTCACATACCTTAAGTTCTCAATAGTGTACATGAGTTAATAAAGAGATTAAACAAGTATACTAAATATGATATGTATATGTGACTTGTTATATGGAATAGATTACATGATTTCTATAATGGTGTATTGCTTGGTTAATGCATGATATGGTAAAGACAAATGTTTATATAAGAGTGTTAAATTATAAAGATTAATGATAGTGAATGGGAAATGTTAAACGTGTTGATAATGATATATGTGCTTGTGTGTACATATTACAGAAATTATATATATGCTTTTATATGATATGATTGTAATACTAATTGCTCATGCATTTGATATGAATTATAGTTGTATTACATGTTTATATGCCTCACTAAGTCAACGACTTAGCGTGTGATTGTTTCACACGTAGGTTTCGAGAAGAGTAAAGAGCAATGTGGAGCAAGACAGGTCAGTTCTCCTTACCAAATGTCAGATCAGAAAAGAGGTGAATAATACGTATTTTAATAAATAAAGTTCTAGTTGGCATGTAATCAAAAGAATATATTGTATAAGCTCTGAATAGTTTTGTAAACGTTTTGAATAAGTTTTAATGTTATAAAAGTTTTAAATTTCCCTATTTTTCTATAAGAGTCAAAGTTTGAAAAGTCAATGTGACACCTCGGACTCATATCCGGGTCGGGTACGGGTTGGGGGTGTTACACCTGGTACATAGTTGAAGCGAAACAATCACTTTTTCATGTAGAGCTTGTTCTGGCCGCTTTTCTTCAAAAATTTCTCCTCCAGTGCCTTCCACAATTTACTTGCAGAAGTTTCCTTAGAAAATACATACTTCAGCTCTCTAGAAAGACACGATCGAATAGTACCACATGCCAATCTATTGATCCTCTTCCATTCTTTCTCCTCAACATCATCTGGTTTCTCTTTCAATAGCAATGCCTAGACCCTGCTGAAATAGGGCATCTAGAGCCTCACTTTGCCATATGCCGAAATGACTGGTGCCATCAAAAATCTCCACTGCAAATCTAACATTTGTCACAGCTGTTGACGACGATGTAGATGTTTTTGTTGCGTCTGCCATTTCTGCTACAAATTCTATTTAATAACTGTCAATGCGGAATGCCAATTATCCCAAGAAATTTTTTCTGATGTGGAAGATCAGCCTAAGCCGCAACCACAGAGCATACTAAAATAAACCAATAGCTCTGATACCAATTATTGTGGAATTCGGGTTAATTTCCACCAATAATAATAAATTCACCTTGAAAACTATTATCTAGGTGACTAGTGTGAAAATGATTGTACTAAAAATCACACCAAGGTAGATTTCCAAGAAAGAGGAGGGGTCATAACGGTCCCTCTTAAAACCTACTTTCCTTAGACAGAACTACCAAGACAAATAATTTTAATAGGACAATAATTAACAACAACTATACCCGACAATAGCTATTAAATAGACATAAAGAGAACACCAAACTTTAACGAGGTTAGGCCAAAATTATGCCTACCTCCTCGAACACTACTAAAATAATATTTCACTAGTAGAGGAAATATTACAAAGAGAGAAAGAGTACAAATAGCCTTTAATAGTGAAGAAGGCTTATATTTGTGGATGCTTAACTAAGGAGGAAGATGACTTGATTTATAACAAAAGAATTTCCCCCCCTCCTTATACACAACCAACGTGGGACTTTGCCAAAAAACCAACATGTATGTCATAGTCACCCATTCAATACTGCCTGTGAAGTTCTTTTTTTTAACTCGACTTATAGTTTATGGAACAATTTTTCTTGATTTATTTCTTTTGATTTCCCATTTATATTTCCATCCATTCAATTATTTTGTTAGTATTTATTAGATTAATTAATTTTGCAAAACTTTAGGATCAATTTATCTATCAAATGCTTATTCATTGTAATTGTACTTATATCCTTTTTAGAAAATAAAGGGATAAATATTAAAATTACTATTAATTAGTTTAAATGAACATTATGATATATTAATTTTAAATTTGTGTATTTATAGACATGAATTTTAATATTCAGTTAATTATACACTTGAGACTTTTATGTTGTTTCAGTTATACACGTCTCAAAAAATATATTTTTTTTGACTAATCAAAATTTCATTTCATCCAAAAACACCAAAGTAAAAAACTCAACCAAATTCACACTAAATCTTAACCCCCAAGCAGATCAGCAGGGACAATAACACACTCCTTAGAACCTAGCAGCCTGTCCCTCACCACACTCCTAAGTCCTAAACAAACGAAGATAACCTGAGCATTCTCTTTTATTTTCATATTAGATAAATATAGTTATTTGTAAATGCAATACATAAACATAAAATGATACTATTATGTTGACAATTATATCAATGAACTGGGAAAATTGAACCAAATTAAAGCCTTTTGTATACAATCTCATAAAATCAAAATTGATAAATTACCTTTTACATTTTATTAAAATTCGTGTATAGTTTTAATATATATTTTAAAAAATAAAAATAGATATTAACCAGCATGATATTGATAAAGTCTGCAAAGGGTGAGGACTTGAGTTATTACATAATACATTTGAGTCTCAATATCAAGCCTGGCTTTTCGTTGAATATTTAGTTGTATAATATTTATTAGTTATGTGAGCTTTATAATTACTTTAATTTAAATATAAATATATGCTTGTTATTTTGTTATCTATGTGTGTTTTATAATGGGTTACTTTAATTAAATTACATATTTATTAATTTTAGTTGCAATATATTGAAATATACTTTAATCTAATTCGTGTGGTGGTAGATATTCTTTAATTAGATTGTAGGGGAAAATATGGTATGGGTACGCGTTAGGAACTATTTATGGTACCACTAACCCACTGATAAAGCACACGTTGTAGGTTAGTGAATTGACCGTGGAAGGTGCGCATTGAAGAGGACAATTCGAGCTTCTCTCCCTTCAGAAAGAAAAGTAAATGAAAGAAATTTGCCGTGTATTTTTGTTACAAATAATATCTGTATGTCTTCATCGTACAACGAGTAATCAATGATTTCAGCGTCTTTAATTTAAATATTCAGGCAACAAACGTAAGCTTTAGGTTTATCAGCCATGCATGCAGTCGGGCTAGTCTAGCAAACATTGAAATCCAATTTATTTCCAAAAAAAAAAAAAAACATAGGTTTTGATCTTATGTGCCACGACAACGACGTAAGATCTAAACATATGTACACGGTTAAGGTTGATGGTTTGATTTTGATAATTCTGAGAAAATGATGTCCATACTTAGATAACTGGCTTCAATTGAGTTAAGATTCTAGTGTTTTGTAGATGACTACGAAACAAGGAAGGATAGCCCTTGGGTTGAAGACAACCAACTCTTCCAGGTTGGAGTAGACGACGGTGTATGCTGCTATAGAATCGTACGAGCCAGTCGAAACCGAAAAGCTGCTGCTATTATCCTCCTCCAAAGGCGGCGCATCATCCGCCACTCTCTTCACCCTTCCCGCGATCACACGGCAAACAAGCATGGCCATCCGCCCGTCCGTACATTTAAGAAAGTCGTGGGCCCTGCCGCTGCTAGCCGTAGTGCAGACTCCTTTGGATTCTGCTGCTGCGGCGACACCTCCACCTTTGTTGTGGAACCCTTGTTTGATTATGGTGCAGACTCCGCAACCCGGGATCGAACCGCACAAGCTGGAGGATCCACGTGCTCCGAGGGAACACGACAATGTGGTGCAGTGGAACCGGAGGAGTTCGTTTCCGTCGGCTGCACACCTGGGATTCTTTTTGGTGCTGTTAAGAGCACGCGTTTTCACTGCGTCGCGACAGTCCTCGAACCGTTGGATGGTGCGTTGGGTGTTGTGGACTTTCAGTATCCGTTCGATCTTACAGATTGGATTACCCTTCTTAAGCCAGCTCGATTTGAAGATAATTTCTACGATGTTCCGGCCCGAATCGTCTGGGCTCAACTCCGAAACTAGAAGAACAAAAAATAAAATTAAAAAATGATTTCCTTTTTGCATTAAAGGATATATTAATTGGAGTTGTTGTTTTCGGTGGGGTCATGGTCCTCGCAAACCGTGCAAATTAGCGTTACAGGTGAGATAATATTACACCAATGAAAAGACACCACGTTTACAATATTTATAAAAAATGACAGCTGTGGTATTTAACATCAATCGGCAAATGGGTGGGGCTAGATTTTAGTGCAATTAATAAGCCTTAAAGCAGATGTAAATTAAGCAGCATAAATGGAGTGATTTTCAAATTTAGTGCAAGGAGAACAGTGGTAAAAGAATTTGACTGTTAATAATATAGACATCTAGTGATCCTACTTTGCTGTTTGACTGGATAAATGGAAAGAAAGTGACACACTTTGGAACAAAAACAAGTTTACAATTTCGAAATTTACTTTTGAGATCAGGTGTTAAGACAAAATGAAGCAAAAGAAAGAGACAATTAAGCTTTTATATGTCGTAACACGTATAAGCAATTGATATTAAAAGATAAAAAAAAGCAGGATTGCGGTCAAGTAAGCAGTCAATTTGTTGTTAAATAAATTGTTGTACAATAATTCAGGAAAACGATAGTAAATTATGTGCATAAAAGATAAGGGAATTACTGTACCTGCATGGCGAACAGCTTGATGAAGCTCCAAGCTTTCAATCTTTGGGAAGATCTCTCCGCACTGTGAGCAGGCACAAATTGTTGTTCTTGATGACGGGTACCTGATAATTCATACTTTCTTCAAACTATTTTTCTTATGTAAACGAAGCAAATTCTTATTTTGGAAAATGGGGGGTGGGATCAAATTATACTACAAATATATATACCTGCTAGGGTCAACTATCATATGGCACTCGTAACACCCAGAAAACTTCCTGAATTGCATAGCTCTGGATGAAGATGACGTGTAAGTTGTGCTGTTATTATTAGATCTTGTTGACCCCGACAACGACCGGGTTGACGAGCTATTTGCAGCTTTGCGTCTCGGTAACCCAGTTTCTTGACCAACTGTGCTACTCTCAGGCGAGTTATCAGCTCTGTCAACAACTCTCCTCGAGTTGCCATGAACAACGTCCTTGAAGCTACAGATGGACTTGCAAGAGGAACCCAGCTTTGAGTACCCATGCTGATTATTCTTGGAAGGATCATGAACTTTCGACCCTTGGATCTGTTTGCAACTGAGCAAATTCTTGATTTGGTCCCATGAAGACGGTTGCTTTTGCTTTTGTATCTGGTTTTTTCTACGCTTGGACGGCGGTTTCACTGTCATGGGTTCCGCCGCCGTCTCCGGTAAGAAAGTGAGAAGAGCCATAAAAATTTAAATAAGAACGAAACAATAGGAGACAATAATAATAAAAAGGAAAAGTAGTAGCAGAGAGATTAACTCTCTTTCATAAAAAAAAGGGAGTTTTTGAGAAGGAACTAGGAGAAGAGGGTTATATTTTTTTTGGTGGGCAAAAGGAGAGGGATCCAAGACGGGTAATAAGGACTAAGAACCAAGAAGGTACAGTGAGGGTGGTGGGAGTGGGGTCTCTGTTTATTTATTGCATTTATGTTTCTTCACTTTGTGATTTAATTCTCTCCCTTCTTTCGTAGAAGTGCATATCTCTTGGACCACTACTATAAATCTCGGCTCCAATACAAAACTAGATTCATCGACCCATTTTCATTCTACACTGAAATTTTTATCATTAAAATTAAGAATTTGTACTTATAATTGTTCTTTGTACTTAAATGGTGATATTAAGGGAGATGAATTCTGAGTTTATTTAGTGTGGGATAATAATGTAGGAATGGGGTCCACAGGTTCTAAAAATTTGCAAAAGGAAAAGTGCATGAACTGAAGAGAACATCGTATAAGACGCACACAAAGAATTGGAAACGTCCCTATGGCAATTTGCATCTTCCCGATGTCTCTATCTGAATCACTATCTGTTTGCAATGCACATAAAAAAAAAACAAAAAAACGACCTGCTCCGTGTAATCTCCACCTAATAAGGCTCGATCTATCTCTATCCATCCCATTCTCAACGAATCCAACATGGATGATGGATGGGCTAGGTTTTTATAACTTGACCGTCTAGCTGGCCTCGAGGGTCAACACATGGTTCACAAATTGACCGACTCGCCATGAATGTTGAGTGGTGAGCTTATGAGTTCTCGTGTGGGGCTATGAAACCCCACCTGCTCTCTCTACCTCGTAATGGGTGATGACTAATTTCAGTAAACGGTACTGGCTCAGCCAGATCAGTAGTGTCCGAAAATAAACCATCCCTTTTTTTCACCCACAAGAAAATGATGCGAGCATCAAACAAAGCTGCACTTCATCGGGAATTATTATGGAACCTCTGATTAAAAACAAACCAACTAACAAATCTCACATGGAAGTTATTTATAATTAAAAATGATTCCTTGCAAGTACAGCTGAGATTTCATTAATAAAAAAAGTGACCCAATAATTCATTTTTTCTATTTTAATCCTTAAGTTGCTACTATTCAACTTATATGTTTCCCTTTTCTTTTCAATGCTAAAGTAAGCTTCTATTTTAATCCTTAAATTACTTACCAAACATGAGAACAAAACAGAATCTTAATTATTTTATTGGGTAGCAATGTGAAGCTTACATGTATGTTCTAAAAATTTTGTAAAAAGAAAGAAACTTCCGGTATGAAATTACATGTGAAAGCTACAGTGTTTTTAAATGGCTGAGATGCAGAAGCAAGAGGGTAAGTAAATCTAGCACAAAAACCCATGTGCAACTTGGGAACCTTTGGCATTATATTAGTTGGCCGACATTCTTCACCTCTCACGTCACGAAGATAAAAAAACAAAAATCAAGTTTACAAGGTTTGTGTTTGTCGCGATGTTTTATGGCGACATCCACCCACTACTGTTTATGCATATAGTGGAAGAAGATGACCTAACACCTGATCTCACATGTTTCTGCCACAAGGGAATTGGAAAAATTACTTGGTATTTAACCCAATCCAAGCGATATCAAAATCGAAAACCCAAGACTGATTTTAGGTCTTTTTGGACATACCTTTGTTATGGTTTGGGCTTAGCCCAAGGATTTAATCCAAGATAAAACAGAACATCCCTCGTTGTTCTGTAGCGGTTTTATTTTAAACTTTAACTTAAACCCTAGACGTTAAGGTTTTATTTCTTTGGGGAAAGCTGATTGTTGGAATGCCAACTATTTATATAGTTAGATAATGTTCTGCAAAACCTAAATTTCTTTAGTGAACTGAAGTTGTTCTTCAGATTCTTGTCTGTGAATTTTATTCTTTTGCACACACGGCAGAATAAGAGCAAATATTTGTTTAATAAGAGAATTGACATGTCCGAAAGTAAACCTGAATCGGGCCCTGTTATAAATCCTAGAGTAACCTGGGAAGGTTGCAGCGTATTGCTCGACATCAATGACGGAGATCGCCTTGTTTTCGCTCGTCTCTCTGCGGGCTCGTAAGCTCTATTTTCCTCAAAGCAGTTAGTTTTACTGATTATGAAATTTTAAATTTTGCGTTGTTTAATTGGTTAGTATCACTGTTTCAGGACCTTGAAAATTGGGAATAAATCATGCTCTTTGCAACCATTGATTGGTTGTACCTTTGGATCTTTATTTCAAGTTGAAATCGGAAAAGAAAAACCTTATCTTTCCCGCTTTGTTCCACCTACTGATGGTTTACTTTCTTTTTTCCCCTTCCCTAAAAGCGTTAGTTGATTTCAAATTGATTCTGGATAATACTCATCTGACGCTTTTATTCGCAGATAGTAATGTTCAAGACGAAGGAGGTAGTCAATTACAGGAAGAATCCCGTGACAACCGAGCAATAATTGATAATAATCAAGCTCAAACCCTCACCGGTGAAGATATAGATGCAATGCGGAGGTTTAAAACTGTGTTTTGTGGTTATTTATAGGCTTATTGTGTGTGCATGAATTTTAACTAATTGCTTCTTTATCTTATTATGCAGACAGGGGGCAACGGGGAATGAAATTGTTGAGGCTCTCATTGCTAACAGTGCAACTTTTGATAAGAAAACACAATTCTCCCAGGTTAGTTTATTTTGTACTCAAGGAGTCCTACATTTATTAATGGTTATTGATCTCGAATATAAGCTGGTTTGGTAGAGTAGTAAAAGATCAGGAGAAAAAGAATGAAACTGACATATAAATGATTTGTGTTTCATCTGCAGGAAAAATATAGGCTTAAGAAGCAAAAGAAATATGCACCCAGAGTACTTCTTAGACGACCCTTTTGTAGAAGGTACCCATGTGATTCTTTACTCGAGCTGCTTTTGTGGGATGTGGTTTTTAAATGGTTTATATCTCTCTACTTGCTGACTTGCATTTCGCCACTATTGTGTCAGTATATGTGAGGCATACTTCAAGAAGTATCCTGCTCGGATTGGGTAATCATTAACTATGGTTTTTTGTAAGTTACTTCTGCAGTCATATATCATTCGAAATTTATTTGTTGTTCCTTTCTTATGATTCAGATTTTTGCGAGTGGATGCTTTATCTCTGTTGCTTTCAATGGCTAATGCCACTGCAAACTCCGATGTCCTTGTAGTGGATATGGTTGGTGGACTTGCTACTGGTGCTGTGGCTGAGCGTTTAGGAGGTATTGAACAAGTTTTATTTCCTAGAGACATTCAATATTTTAGGTGTCTTTTTTGTTATGTTTTGAGTTCAACATTTTTTAACATTCTTGTTTTCAAATGATCGATACCATACTTGATATGCATTTTTAAAGCTTAGCTTACCTGAAGATCCTTTGTGTGGTCACAGGTTCGGGTAGTGTGTGCAGTACTTATCTTGGAGGGACACCGTATCCTACAGAGATAATAAGGATGTTCAACTTCAGTGATGAAATTTGCAAGACGTACACTTCCAACTTTTGAGTTTGCTCCCAACTACTCACTCTTTTTGTCATCTCACATTCACATGTGCATGACGCAGATATGAATGCAGAATTATGTTATTCAAAATATGTACTTTCTTCCATTTTTCCTCAGAATTTTGCGGTGTTCCTTCAATGACCTGTGCTCAGTTCAAAATGAAACCAGTGAGCGAGTCAGCCAACATGAAGATGACTATACAATGGAGGGTCAATCTAATGTTAGTCATGCTCATTTGTGATTAAGTTTGTTCTTTATCTCAAACCCCCTTAATGTATTGTGATATGTTTTAGGAAAAAACATCCTTATCAGTTGGCACGGAAGATGTTTACCTTTCATCCAAAAATGGTGATACGGATCTTGTTCCTGAGAATAAACTTTCTTCCTCAAGCAAAACTTGCAAAGCCCCAAAAGCTGGAGAAAAAGCACCAAAACAAGCCATTCAGTCGTGGAAAGAGAATGGTTTCTCTAGGTATCTACAATTACAGAAGTAAACAGTTGCTTTCTTAACATTAGAATCATATTAGCCATAATTCTTAATTTCAATGTCTTTGTGTAGCCTAATTATTGCTGCACCGGAGCAGGATGCGTGGGGGTTGGTTAAGGATTTGCTGCCTCTTCTGACATACTCAGCTCCTTTTGCAATTTATCACCAGTATCTGCAGGTCTTTGGCTTCTCTAAATCTTGAAAGGAACCAAGATAGACTTCTATTTGTTTTTATAAAGCTGATAGTTACAATATGCCTGTTGCAAAGTGTAACTGTGGTAACAGTCATTCCCTAGAAAGTTAACTTGATCAAACTATTGTCTAAATACAGCCTCTTGCAACATGCATGCACAATCTGCAACTTGAGAAAATGGCAATTGGATTACAAATTTCAGAACCTTGGTTACGGGAATATCAGGTCATCTTCTTCCTCATTAACATTTTAAAACTATCTGATGCTTTGTTTGTGGGAATCACGTAACGTGGTTATTATTATGCAGGTGCTTCCATCAAGAACCCATCCCTGCATGCAGATGAGTGGAACTGGAGGCTACATCCTAAGTGGTACTCGGATGTATACTGATACAAGTCAATCCTAGTTCGTACATTTTTAATAAAGGCAAAAGATTGTGTATTAGTAATTCTGTTGCTTATTTTCAAGAAATCAGCTGTAGAAGAAGGGATTTGTTTTTTTTCTTATTATTAGCTCAAATAAAATTTTCCTAGTATGTTGAGGGATTGAGGTTGCTCCTATTGTGAACCTCTATTTAACTAACGAATTTAACAAGTTGAATTTTATGTGAATCGAGTATGTGGTATCTTAGAGATCCACCACCACCATGGGTAAATCGGTGAGTCGAAAAAGAACAGTGACAGCCTGACAGGGTCCCGGATCGTGACTTAATCCCAGAGCGACCATGTACACTATCAATGGTCAGTATGCCAATCTAACCACTTTGAGGGATTGGCTGACAGCTGCACGTGTGTACATTATTTCTGTTGTCGGTGGTGATCACGTAATTCTGGAAAACCCATTTATTTGTACAGCTATTTGAGGCCGACTTGGAGCCTTGTAACGGGCTCACCCATTTCCAAAGCTGACGTTTAGGGATGCTTAGAGATTCATCCACCATATGATTTGTTATGTTAGCTAAAGTGTTTTTTTTAATTATAAGTAGAGGTGCACAAAAAATTAGAATATCCGATTTTACGTAAAAAATATCCGAAATTGGATTTGGGAAAAATTGGGTTTTTTTAAACCGAATCGATATTTTAAAACCGGATAGTATAACCGGTTTAGGAAAAAATTGGACGATCGGATTTTTTACCGGATTAAAAATCAGTTTGAAAAAAACCAGATAAAAAACTGATTTTTTATCTGGAAAAAAAATCTGGTCTGGGGTTTAAAAATCCGGCCTGGGGTTTAAAAAATTGGATGACCGGATTTTTTACCGGATTAAAAACCGATTTTTTTAAAAAACTGGTTTTTTTCAAACCGAAACCGGTTACATCGGTTACATCATCCGGCCCTCCAAACCGATTATGATCCAAACTGATTTTTTGTCTTAGTGAAAAAATCGGATCGATTTTTATCCGATCCGGATCGAATTTAAATTCGGCTATGTGCATCTCTAATTACAAGTATACAGAGCTTTGATCCTTATCCTTAACGATCACTTACTTTACCCATTAATTAGTCAGATGCTGATTCTTCCATTTTTTTATTTAAAATAAGGAAAAAAAGGAAAATTTCTATTTATAATATGAAACGCATATATTGCTTATTCAAATTTTATATTTATACAGTAAAAAAATATAATCATTAATATTGTTTAATATATTATTTACCTCAAAGCAATTTCAATTTTTTAAAATTTGATAATGTCTCTTATGGAGATGATTTCTTCCATACAATTTTTTTTTATAAAAAAACTATACATATCCGAATAAGCTACTAACAAATATTCCACTAAAATTATAGTAAAGAAAGGTTGTATTTAAACCAATTTAGGCTTAATACCAAAATAAGTGCTCAAACTATATCACATTCTTGAATGGGTGTTTAAACTATTTTTTGATTAATTCATGTAACTAACGTTACAAGCGTTACTATTTTAGGTGCTTATGTTACAAACGCTACAATTTTTAGGTGCCTCAGTCATAATGGCCGTTAGAAAACTCCGTTAAGCAACATGTGTCACATTCTAGTAATTTTAAAATATTATTTAAAAAAACTTTAAAATGTTTTATTTTAAAAAAAAGCCTATTTTTTAATACAAAAAAAAATCCAAACTCTTAAAATTTCTTATCTAGTCTCATTTATTCTAACTAGCGGTCATCTTCGGCCATCTATTCGCCGCCGACGGGCCACCCATACATCGCCGACCACCCACTGACCGTTAACAACTCTTAATATCATCTCAAAACCTAAAATTCATAAATCCCTAATCCCTAAAATCCCAAATATCTAATCCCTTAAATTCATTTCATCAATCATGATAATTGGTCGTTTAGTCGACTATGGAAACCGACCATTTGATCTACTGTTTAATCGGTTTTTTAGCCTTTGTCTATTTGGCAATGACAAAACCATGGAAGAAGGGGAGGGAGAGGGTGGGGTGGGACGTGGGAAAGAAGGGTGGTGTGTGTTTTAATATTGTGACGCGTGTCATTTAACATATTTTTTTAACGAATATTATGACTGAGGTACTAAAAGTGGTAATGTTAACCACCTAGATAAATAAAAAAGTAACTTCGACACATATTCAAGAATCAAGAATTTAGGTATAATTTATTTTGAAATTAAGTCATCAATTAACAACTCAATATTACTAATATGTTACCTCCCTTGAAAGAAGCATCTTCCTAGTCTCCAAAGGGTATAATGGGCAAGTTAGTTTAAAACGTTAAACCTAACCGAACGTAATGATGATTTGAAAAACACCACTACGAAGGAAAAGACTATAATGCTATCTCATCTCTCTGACTCTCTCTTCTATTATTATTTTTCCCTCAAGAGTCTTTTCCAGTCTCCCACCGCTACCACCGACTTCGTAACGGTTAGCCGTCGTATTTTGGCGGCGCCGATTTTATCGTTGGCCGGCGATCTTCTCCCAAGTTACTCATATTATTTCCTTGAAATGTCCTCTTGTGTATCGCCTCTGTGCTCTGGTTTAACTATCATTTCCGATTCTAAACGTGTAGCCTTCTTGTTTGCATCGTCTTTTTGAAATTACTGTTTAAAGGTAACAATAGCTCTGCCGTTCCCAACTTCTTTTTGGTGATCGGTTCCGCGGGCACTGCAATTAAGATTCCATTTACATTGTCGAATGTTGATAACTATATTTTCTTAAAATATTTTTTCTGGATTGCCTGAATATGGTTTTTTCAATTTTTTGATTGATTTATTTTTTGAACTCGACGGTATTTCCGTTTCCCTCGACTATTTCTTCGTTTTCACCGCTTCTCGGTGCGATATGTTGAATGTATTTTTAGCACTTATAGTTCCGTACGGTATCCTATATTTTGGTATCTAATTATTGTTTAATTCTTTGTTGCTTGTTACGAAGAAGCTTAGGATTTAATTAGCTGGATCAGTCTGGTTTTTTTACTTGCAACATTACTTTATTCGCACTCCTCTGTTTGGTTGCTCAGAAAAAATGATGATAAATAAACATCTAAGCAGGTTTTATGTTGTTTTCATTTCCGGTATTTGAAAATTCTTGTTGAACCATGTTTAAGAGTGTTTCCACAACCTCTTAAGAGGATCTCGTTCGTTAAATCGTAAAAGTAGGACAAATTTTAGACCCTTTGGCATATTTCTTACCTGTTTAGATTGATGGGCCCAAGAATTTCACTCTGGAATTTCTTTTGAAAGAGATTTGGAGATGCTTCAAACTATATTACTAATTTTCTTTGCTTTCCAAAGAGGAGAAGCTTGGGTATCAATATCACTCAATGTTTTCTTTTGAAGACAATTGGAGATGCTACAAATTATTACTAATTTCATTTTCTTTTGAACTTAAAAGTTACATTTCCCATCAGAAATCATCACTTCTCTAAAATTCTCTGTATGGTGAGGATTTGGATTTTTAACCTTTCAAGGAATCTGGATATGTATAGGGGCTGAAAGATAGGGATATATATGTGCGTGTGTGTGTCACCCAGGCTGATATTTTGCTTCAATTAGACTGTTCTTATTTGCTAGGATTTATAGTGTTGATTTTGATGCTGACTTTAACTCCTGGGAGTAATCTCTTTTCCAGGAAATTAACAAAATGATTGGATCCTTTCTTACCAGAGGACTCGTGTATGTTTTACTTTACAACTGGCTCTCTCTCATTTTAGTATTATTTCATGCCCTTTCTTGAAAATAATCTTTTAGTTTTAATTTGGCAGGATGGTTTTTGGCTATGCGTATCCATCATATGAATGTTATAAAACTGTTGAAATGAATAAGCCTGACATTGAGCAACTGAGGTTTTGGTGCAAGTACTGGTAGGTCTTCAATTGGTGTTCTTTTCATATAAGATTGTTCTAATTTAAGTCATCTTTTCCTTTATTTCCACCTTTTCTTTTCTGGTTTCAGGATATTGGTGGCTCTTTTGACAGTTAGTGAGAGAATTGGTGATGCTTTTGTTTCATGGTATGGAATAAAACAGTAAGGATGCTTTCATGTCTGTTCTTCTGTTTCTCACTGTGCCTTCTCTCTTTTTTTTTTGAAGGGTTCCAATGTATAGTGAGGCTAAGTTGGCATTCTTTATATACTTGTGGTACCCTAAAACAAGGGTAGGTGTGTTACTTTTAAAGAAACAAGCAAAATTTACTTATCCATCTACATGTTGATGTTTTCTTTAATTGCCCTTGCATTTTCACTTTTCTCAGGGAACATCTTATGTGTACGAATCCTTCTTTAGACCATATATTGCAAAGCACGAAAATGAAATTGACCGTAACTTGTTGGAACTAAGGACTAGAGCTGGAGACATGGCAGTTCTTTACTGGCAAAGAGCTGCAAGCTATGGCCAGACAAGAGTTTTTGAGATCCTGCAATATGTTGCTTCACAGTCAACCCCAAGACCTCACCAGCCTCAGGTAATTAGGAGACCATAACCAACGGTAGTTTGTGCTGTTATTACCTCCTCTGTATGAGTTTTATGCAACAAACTTAGTTTGATGAAACCAAAAATTGGATGTTATGGTTCCCTGGAGTTAGAAAATGACTGAATATAATACATCAAAAACTCTGTACAGCGTGTCCAGTTGTAACATTTGTATGCTAATTGAATGTCTTTAGTAATTGAAAAGTAATTAATCTTTCCAACTTTTCTATTCTGGTTTTTCTTTATCTATACATGGTTATATATATTTGAAGTTCGTTTATTTTTTCCCGTGTAACTCTAGGGTTCTCGAGCACAAGGTGCTAGGGTTCGCCAACCCTCGGGTGTGCCAAGCCGTCAATCATCTAGTAAAACACAAGCAGCAGAGCCTGAGGCTGAAGAACCGCCTTCTCCGACATCTATTGCATCGTCAAGTCAACACCAGAAGGAAGTAGCTGAAGAGGTGGGACCTTCAAAGGTGCCTTCACAGGTGGCTAAACCAACTACCCCTTCAGCATCATCGAATAGCCAAAAAGCAGATACTACATTGGAAAGTACTAGTCAGCCTGCGGAGACTGAAGCTGAAGCAGAAGCAATGCAAATAGAACCGGTGCCACCTCCACGGAATG